GGGTATAATATAGGGCTTAGGGTTATGTATTATCTTTTTTGTACCTGGTGCCAGCAGGGACATGATAACAGTAATACTGGTAACAATAGTACTGGTAAATTAAACATAAGTGATGATAAGAGGTTTACCGCGATAAGCGATAATAGTAATAATAATGCTGCAGCAAAGTAAAGCTCATAATCTGCAGCGTCATAGGGACAGGACTACTCTCAGTGACACACCAAGGTTATCAAGGCTGCCACGTGAGCTATAGTCGAAACTCCTAGTATCCCCCGTCATAACCCCTAAAATACTCCCCTATATAATCCCCCAAATGACCCGTTTCAGGAGTTTAGACTGTAGCTCCACAAGCCTCTAAACCCTAAACCCTCAATAGTAGTCTCCATTTTCTTTTCCACTATCCCTATATATACCCTATATAACCCTACAACACTAAATAGTAGTTTCCATTTTCCATCATCCCTATATAACCCCTGTATAACCGACTGTAGCTCACGTCTGGTGACCGCGAAGGAGCCTTCGCCAAAGGGGGCTGCTGAGGCTCATGGCCTGCCAAGCTAATCACATGTGGGAGCTTCCTGATATAGGGGAAATTCAATGCAGACCCTCAAATACTATAATCGTCAACACAGGGACCCCGGAAGAGTACCCCCCAATTTTGGGACACTCCCATGTTTAGAGCTTTACTAGTCCAAGCTGCACAAGCACCAACTAGTTTTCGGCGAGCGCAGCGTTCGGCTCAGCTTTACTCTAACTCCTTTCTGAACAACAAGTTGGTGCGTTTCCGCTACCCTGTGCTCTCGCGTCTTGTTGTTCGATGCTGTGCAAGCCTGCAGGCTCGTCAGTGGCGCCTTTTGCTGCCTGCTCAGAGCATTCCATTTCTGCCAACAACCCCAAGCACCTGCTGGCTGAAAGGGACAATTTTTGGAGCGAGCGCTTCTTCAAAGTAATGATTCAAATTTGTTCGCTAAAGGGTGGGAACCCTACAACGTGCGCCTCCCACCCGGCTGAGGGTGAATGGCTGCCACAGTAGTGCAGTGAAACTGTTCGCGGTGGTCAGAGGTCACAGACGCAGACGCGGAAAAGAGTGCTAGAGACCGAATCACTGCCAAGAGCAAATGACGGCGGACAGTCAGACCGCCAGAGAAGCCTCCTGCAGCTGCATCCTAATAGATCCTGATCATCTCACAAGTCACCATGCTCGAAGCGTCTTTGTCCGGGGCGCCGCCCTTCGTCACCTTGGACTTTGGACTTCGACATGTTCTGATGTGTTTGCCCGACAGCAACTTCGCACAGCAAACGCAGACTTTGCGTCAGGTTGGAGTTCATCTGCCCATGTGGACAAAAGAGAAGGTTCAATGTCCAATACAACAGTACTATCAGAGCTTCATAAGCTTGCCAACTAGCTCAGGGCGTTTGCAGGCATTTAGAAAAACGACCGTTCTTGCTGTCATGAACCCTTGTACAGCTCAAGCAAACTCAAGCAGCGCTAACAAGACAGGTGACTCCATGTGTTCCCTCAAAAAGGGGAGCGACGGTGGATGGCGGAAATCTTGCACCACTTGGTATTCCCCAAGTACTGTAATTACCATTGTTGGGGCTACATAGGGTGGTGCAAGATTTCCTCCATCCACAGTAGTGCCGAGACAAAGCAGTGTCACAGAGTTTCAGACGCAAAGAGTTCTAGCGGAATATTGGAGGTGATCTGGCGGCATGACTGACAGTTTTTCAGACCATCTCTGTTTTGGCCGCTTGATGCCAGTGCTAGATCGAGCAGCTTCAAAGCCCGCATTTAGCTACCTCTTTGAAGCATGAACGCCAAGCAGTCTTTGAACAAGACAACGTGAGTCTTATCTCCCTTGCGGGCAAGTTACAGAGCCCAAAGCCAAGCATCAACGCTCTGGCAACGACTTCAAGAGCAGCCTCATCAGCCTGATAACGCGTGAAGGCATAGCAAGTGCAAAAGATATGCCTTGTTTATATCCACCTCTTTTTGGCGCGGACTGGCCTGCCCAAATTGCTGCCGAGGCTCGGTGCTGGCCCTGCTTCTGAAAGAGCTCTGCTAGCTGCAGGGGTGTCGTGGCGTGGTCTAGGCGCTTGTCCTGCAGGGCAAGCTCTTCCCAAACCAATGCCCCAGCCTCAGTGTCCTTGGCCCTGCAGGCCCCGTCAAGACCCCAAGCTCATACATTCTGCAAAGTATGTGGCTGCCCTCGCCTCTCGTTTCCGAATGAAGCGGGGGAAGCGCAATGAGAGGCCTTTCTGAGGATCCACCAAGCCTTGGCACTGTTTCTTGACTGCTGCGCTTCTACCCTCAGCTTACTCGGCTGTCCTCAACAAAAATCCGAGACCACGTCTCAGCAGGTCTACGAATGTGACACTTCAGCACAAGGCACCTTTCGCAGCCATATGCTTCGGAGAGATGGTGATGTCCTGGGCTTGATTGAACTAGCAGCAGTTAGGATGGTTCCAAGTTCTAAGCTTCTCAATTTCCAAAGGACGACACTCCAAGCAAAAAACACACACGAAACACATCTTGCATCTGACAGCCCGGACGTCGGGCACACCGACACAAACCCATCCCAAATCTCAATCGCGCGTAGCCGATTTATGGTGCGTTACCGCAGAAGAGGACATGAAATCCGCAGCAGAAGTTGCGCGAATGTTTCAAAGAAAGCATGCCTAGAATCAAAGCTTCACGGAAACTTCGTCAGAAGCTTCGACGCATCTTTCGCCAAATACATTCACCGCAATCTTCGCCACATTTCTGCCGCACAACTTTGCCAACTTCCACGCAAATTATCGCGAACTTCACTCAACAACTCACCGAGAACTGCAAGCGGGGTTGCAAAGCGTCTTATACGACAGGCTGACTTGAGACAGGAGGATGGCACAGCGCCTGCGCTCGGTAGCGAAGCGAAAATTACATTATCGGAGAATGAAACTCTTGTATCCAGTTTCATGTCTGCAGCGCCATTCTGGCATAAACAGAGCATTGCTCTCGTACCGCGCAAGATGCCCAGGCAGACAATTCTAAGCCGCACAAACACGTAACAACTAACCGGTAGCGATTACGCAAACTCTCAAGACGGGCGAAGCACCTTTTCCAGCCATGTCAACTTCGGTGGCTGAAATTCCCCGTCTGGATTTTGGATGCACTTGTGGTGCATCCATTGGTGTCCTACTAGTGTACTTT